TGTGTTCTCGGTCTACAATGAAAAATCACCCTTTTGCATCTTTTAGAAGGTCCCACAGAGTGGTTTTTGCATCTCTGCGGTTTCTGCTAAATATAATGTGAGAGTTGGATGTAGTTCTTAAAAAGTTGGGCATGTTTTTGAAAAATGTGAATAGGTGGTGGTTTTCTCAAGAAATGAAAAAAAGAGGAAAGAAGAAAAAATGAATGAAAGCAAAAGAGAGCCACCACAAAAAATATGAATAGTGCCCATTAAGTAGTGTTTCTTAGAAATCTGGCTTGGAAATACCAACATTTATGTGACCTCCTTCGCTCTTGTGCTCTAAAGAATTTGAGTAATGCATAATGGCATAAGGAAAGTAAGGGGTTTGATTGACTGTGAGTTTGTTGGGTTTGAAAATGTGGAACCTTGTGCTATGAATACTTCCACCACCTAAAAGGCCTTTTCCCCATGTCCTAGACCCTAGCCAGTCATTTGAACCTGTGTCTAAGACCTTCGGATTAGTTAGTGATGACAACCATTTATGTGAACTCTAACATTTAGAGCCTGCCATCATGTTGAAGAGACGTTAGGGATTGAGAGAATAAGCATGAGCATTTTTCGCGTCAAATTGTCCTGACCCCACTGGTCGAGAGTGAGCGATTCATTTTCTCATATTCTCTACACTCTTCTACCCCGGCGAGGACCTAGATTGCTCGGTCTCTATTCTGATATCTTGAGTTTTGTGCATGAGGTGACTGTCTTGAGTAAGTGGTTGAGTCAAGTCTATGTTGGTTGATGAACAAAAGGGATACTCCTCCTTTACTCGATTTTGCTGCACTCAAATGTCCTCTATGGTGGTTGTCCAGGCTGCTATTGAAGTTGTTCATGTGTTGATGTTTGAAAGCCAGTATGATTCACGTGTTCTGTGCCTATATGATTTGTCCCCAATGTTGGTATGATTGAAATATGTGAGCTTACCTTGTGTCTGACTTGGTTTGCTTGGGAACAAGCAAACGGTTAAGTGTGGGGGAGTTTGATAGACCGTTGATTCTCGTGTTTTAGACCGATTTCACGCTAGGTTGTTCTTGTTTGTGATATTTCAGGTCCTAGTACGTGAATGAAGGTTTGGGAGCGAGTTCGGGGTCGATTGGACGAAGATCGGACGTGTGGCGAGACGCTGAGGAAGCCACACGGGCACTCCTAAAACCCACACAGCCGTGTAAGAAACCCATATGGCCGTGTGGGATTTACCGAGGCTTGACACGGGCATACTGGAGATTCCACACGGCCGTGTGTCCCTAACCGTGTAGGTAGCGCCTGCCCGTGTGAGTTGGGAATTCTGAGTTTTAACCCAATTTCGAGCCACAAGTGAGGGGATCGACTTTTGAGAGCAAAAACAGAGCCCTAGAGAGAGAAAGTGCAAAGAACACATCCTAGAAGCGATATTGGAGCTGGGTTTCATCAAATCGAGCTTGGAGATCATCATAGGAGTGAAAATCATCATCCCATAGCAGATTCTTACCATTGTTATGAGTATGACTGCTTTGTATCCTGTTTCTCTCTCTCTCTCTCTCTCTCTCTCTCTATGGAGTAGAACCCCCTTTCACTTGGGTATGAAGAACCCTAGTTCCATGTGTTAGGATCATGATTGTTATGACTTGGGATTGCTATACTGTTTGGTTTTAATCGAATGATGCATGACTCATTGAATTAATTGAAGTCTGATAAGCTTTTCTTGATTTCTGCTGCAACCTGAGATAGATAGAATCTGATTAGGTTGTTAGAGCTTCATCATTCGGTAGTAGTAGATTGGCTATACGAGAGTTAGTCAGTCTACTGCTTTGTACTGGAATCCAATTCCAGTAGTGGAGTTTTGTGCTTATTGCTTCAGCTTTCTATCCCGGTGAAGACTAGTCGTCTGCAGGGTAGTTAGACCGAGAGGGCTTGGTCATCTTAAGAGATTCCAAGCTACTGTCGGATCTTCCGCAGTTTAATCAACAGTAAATCAACCTAGGGTAATTACAACTGAGACCTAACTAAGGAGCTAGGGGGACTCATTCCCGAGTGACTCTTCCTTTGCTTCAGAAAACCGAACCATTTCCTGCTTTCTTACTGCTTTTAGTTATAACCACAATCAATCGACTTAGTTGGCTAGATAATAGATATTCACGGAGTAGGCAGTAGATCTAGATCCCGGGTTGATAATTAGAACTTGCCACTTTACTGCATTCCTGGACTGCGATTACACTTGGTCGCAGTTTGGTGTTGTGTCGTAGCGTGTCAGCCAGCAAGATCCACCTCATATAAAAATCCGTGGGCACTTTGCCTTCCCTTTGTTTGAATGTGAAGACTTTCCCCCTATGGTCAACATTTGGTGCTCCTAGCTTACAACCTTAGAGAGAAACAATGTTGCCAATTGATCGAAGCAGTCTATGTATCCCTCCTACTACTAGTAATACCAATCGAGGATGATGTCTTGAGTATGGAAGAAAACATACTACAAAGCGTGGTATCAAGGTTATTATAGAGTTGCATCTTAGTGAAGAAGTAGTTGTTTGTGTGGTTCTCTAGATATGTTGTCCTATCACAGTTGGGTAGTGGTGGTATACTGGTACCTTCTGGTTCTCCTTGGAAGCCTCTAACGATAACTTTTCTCACACCCAGTCTCGTATGTAACTACCGATTCTCGATTTCCCACTCATGGTGTTGATCATAATGAAATGTAAATTGCTTCGACATATACCCTAAAGTGTTCGACCTCTTCTAAGGGTTGGACTCCTCTTCCTCTTTGTATTGTGTCCTCTCCCTTTTTCTTGGCGAAGGCTCGACGCCCTGCTTCTTTATTTCTTCAACACCTCCACCTCTCTTATATGGTTCTATAGCAAACACTTCTGACCATCGATTAAATCAACTCTTGGTTGGTTCAGTGAGCTTTATGCGTCTCATCCCCTACTTCTATCCCCCTGAAGGACTCTCGGCCTTCCGACGCATAGGGGTTCAGGTTCTCTAATTATTCAAATCTCGTTACCTTCCTCAGTTTACCCTAGGGCTAACCCATTTGGCTACTTAACTAGGTTCAGGGAATCTACAAACATCAACACAGGGGTCTCTGAGATTCGTTAATCATTCACAGATAAAAGTCGGGAGTTGTGTATTAGAGAGATAAGTATATGATATTTTAGAGAGAGAGAATCCAACCGTCTCAAATGAGGCTATCTTCCCTATCTATAGTCGAGGCCTCGAGGGTCTCCAACATAGTTCCTCCCATTTTGCTCATCCTTATCTTTGCATTAATGCTCTAAACTCTTCTTCGTTCAATGATCTCGACAGCGAAGTATTGTTGTGACTAAAGTAGGTGCATGATGCGTGCATTCTCTAATGGCATCTATACCATGGTTTGTCCCCATTTCAAGTGTGTCATTCCTACCTTGTCGGCTAGTGGGCCTTTGGACCGTTCTTACATTTTGGCCAAATGAGGTTAGGCCATCTTATATATAATGGGCTCAACAAGTTCTATCATTTTTCATTAAACTAAATCACCTAGGCAATCGTTCTTCTTACTAAATGTCATAAAAACTTCTCAAAACAAATTGGTATAGAACTATACGATTTGAGAGTGTTTTCATGTAAACTTATCTATAAAATGATCTCATGTGATTTAGAATGTATGAAATCTTTATAGGAACTTAGTGATGTGTGGTAATCAGACACACATAGTTATGGGTAAAAAATAATTGACTCATAACTATATATATTTAGGGGTTCAAACTCAATAGTTTTAAATTAAGAAGAATATTTTGCCACTATTTTGAAGATCAGTCCTTGCGATTTCTCTATTGTCATAAAGTTTAATTATAACATCATAAGCAAATATTCAATTGGACCATTCAATCTATTTTACACTTTTTTCATAGTATAGACATTGAAAGAGACTCAGTAAAAAGTGTAGACTTTTTTGAAAGGATGTTCATTAAGATTATGAATGGGTCATATGCCCAAATGAAAAAGTACAAGCATCATGAAAGTATGATTGAAAAAACTCAAACAAGAAGGCAGGAAAAAAGCCAGGCCTGGAACCTTAATAGGGCATAAGACCAGGTCCGAAACAAGTTTCAGTCTCCCCTAAACCTAGCCGCCAGTGTCCCCTCTGTCTCTTCCCACCGCCCGCGGTTGAGAACCACTACGCCACTTGATTGCTCGATACAACAACGCCACCAACCAGCGACCGCCATGGCGAACAAGACACTAGATCAAATTCCCACCAAACCCGAAAGGCGGGATGAGGGCACATCCGACCATCCCACCCCGAGCCAGTCGCCGTTTGCTTCCACCAGTGCACACCAAAGGGAAACATCTTCAAATCGACGAGATCTGCAAGACAAAACAAGGAGGTAGACGAGGGAAAGAAGAGGAGACAACAAGCCATATCTATGACAGATTCGATCTCATTCGTATCTTAGACCAAACAATCATCTACATATATGGGAAACAATACTAGAGGGGAAAAAAACTTCAACCCACATAGAGGAAAGGAAAGGCATCCCTGATCCAACCATGAGAAGAAAAAGCAGACCACAAAGAGAGAAAGATAAGCCATTGCATGAGCTAGAAAGCGCAACAACGAAGAAGGAGAAGAAATGAAGGGAGACGGTGGAAAAGAAAGTGGGTAAAGGACAGATAACCGGAGGAGCGCCGAAAGCAGCCGCCATGGGTGCCTCTAATTTCAAATCAAGAGAGAATCCAGAGAAAACTTTTACAGAGAGAGGGGAAACAAACAATTATCAACATCTCTAGTTAAAGGTGCAGACAATGAATATATCTTACATTTATTTTAGAATATGAAAACGTCGTGATTGTTTATGAAAACGACAATCACTGTTTCTTTTTCTATAAATGAATTAATTGGAAATTATTATTTATTTTGAAAAAAGGTACTCATAATTTCAACTCGTGACTCCACCACGGAATGTATGATATTAGTTTCTAGACACCACTAAAATTTGTTTCGAGCCAAACAAATAATGTTATACAACAGTCTTCATTTCCCTACCTGCCTCATCATCGTCGCCGCTGCCAACTTCAACCGCATCCCAAAGCTTCCGATCATCACTCCCATAAGCCCAACTACAGAGCAAATAGTAAAAGAAATTCCCGACACTCAGAACCGCCAGCAGCCAGTAGTAATAGTCGTAGTGCCCGCGGTTCAAATCATTCCCCACCCAACTCACCCTCCTGCCACCCTTCCCGTGATGTCATCAACCACCGACACGATCAAGCTCCCGGCCAAGTTCCCAGCGCCGAGCCCCAGCTACACCAACGCCATGGCAACACTCCTCATGCTCGGCGGAAACTGCGAGTAGTAGAACTCGATCTGCCCGATGATGCTGAACGCCTCCCCTAGCCCTGTCAGGCAGTGCTGTGGGATTAGCCAGTTAGCCGACATGATCCGCCCCGTCGCCGCTGTCCACCTACGACGGTGCTCGACCGCCCCCGCGATGGCGGTGGCGAGGCAGGAGATGAGGAGCGATCCCCATCCGGTGCTTGTTGGGGATGCCATTGGGGTGGTTGAGGAGCTTGGTGGCGAGGATTTTGGGTACCAAAACGCGGTCGTAAAGGGCGACCCATAAGGTAAGGGTGAGGATGCTAAATATGGCACCGTAGGAGGCCGGGGGGAGCTTGAAGTTGCCGATGAAATGACGGTCCATTGAGCTAGCTTGTAGCGCCGGGAAGGTGTGCTGGCTGATGGTGGCAGCGATTATGATGGTGGTCGACCATATTGGGAGGAGCTTGAGGAGGGATTTTAGCTCTTCTACTTGTTGGACGGTGCATAGGGTATTTTGGTCTTTTGGTAGGTCGTCCGATGGGTTTGAGATCATGCATGCTTTGTTAAGAAACCTGGTCAAAGAAAAAAAAACAACGTTATTATTAGGAATGCGCAACAATCTGGTTCACATTGGACATAACCGTAACAAAATGATATTTATACCGAATCAGATCATCATTATATTTTGATTCGACTTGATCTCGTGAGATGTTTTGAGTATGAAGAAAAATGGACCAGATAGAATAAACAAAATAAACCAGACTTGCTTTTGTTATGTTCTATTACTCATTTTTTCTTTGTTTTTGGTTTGATCCTATCTCAATTTGATCTGGTTCCAAATCGAATCGAACGATGAAATTGTTTTTTTTTGTTAATAGATAGCATATAGGACAATGATGCAGGTATTAACATGTTGGGTATGCCTATGGTGACTTGCAAGTTATCTTAACTTGGAGAAAACGGTCGACCTCTTCTATTAAGTGGTCGACCACTTTCAAAGAAAATGGTCGACATCTTCCACCAAGTGGTCTAACACTTGACTCAACCGGTCTACTGCTTCAAAAAATGGGCGACCTGATGACACACTTACCTTCAAGTAGTCGACCTCTTCCACCACCGACTACTTTCCAAGAAAATGGTCTACCACTTCCACCAAGTGGTCCACCACTTGAGTCAACCGGTCTACCACTTTCGAAAATAGGTCGACCACACTTACGTTCAAGTGGTCAACCACTTTCCAAGAAAATGGTCTACCACTTTAAGCAACCGGTTTACCGCTTCCAAGTTCCAGCACTGGTCGACCTATGATACACATACCTTTAACTTACACCCGCTTGTTGGAGGAGGTAGACTGATTCTGCCAAAACAACCTACTGATTCTGTAAATTGGTTTACGTACCTCTTTCGTGAATGATCTCTGCTTTCGGCGAAAGGTTGACTAGATGACACAGTTACCTTATACTTACATTAGGAAAATAATGGACGATAGGAGACCAACAATACAAAATTGTTTTATAGTAACGCAACATCCTATCATCTGTGGGCAACCAAATCCCTACGCATATTATAGACCCAAACAAAAGAACCAACACCCTCTTTTAACACTTATGGAATAAAAATCCACAAAAACAAGATGATGTGAGATATATGGACGTTGAAGATCGATGTCACAATTGTATAACAATTATACTCTTCTTTTTGAGAATTTCTATAACAACAAAGTTGATCATCACAAGACAATTATATGATAGAAACAAGCAAACTTAGAATTTGAAAGAAAGATGAAAGTCTTTATAGAGTAAGTCAAATATTAGAAATAAATATGAATAACATTTTTCAATCTATGTGAGAACAATCACTCGAGAAACTTGTCATCTATACTTGTAGCCTTTGTATTAATTTCAAATCTCTTACTAGCAAGCATATTTATTATTGGACTCTAATTATTTATGATTATATCACTAGCAATGGTTCATGAGGTTGATTGATTATTAAAAGCGGTGAACCGCTTGATGTAAGAGGTAGACCACTTGATGAAAGTGGTAGACCTTTTTTTTAAGGTGGTCGACCTTTTAGTGGAAGAGGCTCACCATTTGTTGAACATAGTAAATTGAAAATAACCATTCTAGCAAATAGGTCGACCGTTTTGTCCAAATAGGTCGACCATATCAATAAAGAGGTTGACCGTTTTGTCCAAATCATGATAACTTGCAAGTTAGCCTAGCAAAATCCTAATATGTTGCTAATCCCTATGATTAGCAAGGTAACCAATATCTTAGTTATGTCTTTGATTATCCAGAGTCTAATTATGTAATTAAAATGTTTCGAGATGTTGTCGAAAATTTTGAATCCCGTGCGACTAATACAATGGATGCAATCATCCTTTTACAATAGTTAGATGTGAATTATGTAAAGCAACAATTATCATTCAAGAAATTTCCACAAGTCAAACCATCTTCCAAAAAATGACAATTAACCGATCTATATATGTACCTCCATTTATCAGTCGGCCGGACAAGCTTCGACTCTTCGCCACAAACCCACCGATCCGAATCCCTCGGCGGCACCGTCAACCCCCTGTTCCTCCACGCGCCGGCAACCACCCTACCGAAACTGGTCAGCAGGGTTGAATCTCCCGGTACCCGGACGTAAGCGGGCGAGCCGATCAGAAACAGCACTGCCGATAGGACCATTAGCGCCAGGGGCACACCAAACCCGATGACCCACCCGAACTGGTCCTGGATCGCCACGATGGCCAGGGCCGAGACGATGACCGAGATCCCAATCGAGGCGTAGTACCAGCTGAAGAACGTCTGCAGGGTCCTCTCGTTGGTCTGGTCGCTCAGCTGGTCCGCCCCGAATGCTAGCGAGCAGGGCCGGATCCCGCCCGCTCCAATCGCCATAAGGATGAAGGAGGTGAAGAGGAGAAGCAGCTGGCCCGGATCGGGTGAGTCGCAGTGTTTTGCGTGACATGATTGCGGCCGCGCTGTCGGAAAGATGGCGGTGGTCCACAATACCCTGAGAAGTAAGGCGAGATCCGTGGCCGACTCAGAAAATTTTAAATATATGTCCATGATAAAAATAAAACAAATTAATTTTATTGTTTTTCATAACGAGGCGCTATGAATGGTTTGCAGATACATTCATCACTTATTTTTTAACTCACATGTTTTTTAATGTATACAATCCAAAAAGCATTAATGAATGAATCCATCAATAATTCAATTTTGAAAATTATTCTTTATAGTAAACAATTTCATTTAACATCTTACAATTCTCATAAATGTGTCAATTACAATATTTGGAGATGTATCGATTCAAAAAATTTAATTTCAAATTTTATGATGACAAAACGTGAAATTTTTTAATCGAGCTGTGACAAGCGACACAACTCTCATAGGTCCGCAATTGCCGGCTATGGTTAATGATTTTTGGTGCACTTACGGAGACGGTGACGACGGTACCGACGACGATTACGCGGAAGCGGCCAAAGTAGGAGTCCGCGGCGAAGGCGCCGACGATCGGGGTGAAATTGGAGAGGGCGCCCCAGAGGAAGAGGACGTTGGCGGCGGCGGAGTTGGTGAGGTGGTACTGCTTCTTCAGGTAGAAGGTCATGTTGGCTTGGAGCCCCACGCTGGCTACCTTCTCCAGTGATTCATTTGCTGTAACAATGGTGGAATTAATTAATTAATGACATTTATAAACGGAGATCAAGCATTAATAACTGCAGTAATGTTCAAGAATAATGGAAGGAAAATTCCGAGGTTATTCGGGAATGGATCGATTTACAGATGATGAACGGCATCGTTTTTAAGCAGCCCTTTCTACGGGCTGTGGTTGGCTGACGAGTTTGGTCGTCGGCGGGGGAAATCCCGCCGGCCGTTTCACCCATGTGATGTGAAGTGATGACAATGAAGTAAGGAACGAGGGTCGAGGGGTTCCTCTTTCTTTCAACTTTGAAGGTTAGTATAGTGTGTGTACTTACTGATATCTATAAGCATTAAATATAAATAAATTGTGTCCCTCCACATTGTAATACTCATTTTATATGCGTGCCAAATTACAATCCAGGTAGAGAGATTCTTATCATTTGCTTCAAATAGTCCCTAAACTCCAATGTAAAAGAAAATGGTCCATAAACTCTAGCTTTGGCTCCGTCTTGGTCTTGAGCTTCTATTTGGTTTCAATCCATCAGTTAATTGAGCTTTAATATCGTTGTTTTAATTTGTATTTATAGAGCAAATGTTTGTGTACGTCTCACACGTATGTGTTCATGTACTTCAATGCAATTCGACGACATATGAGAATCGTCAGTTATTTATTTATTTATTGTCAAATAGGTTTTAAGGTTTGGCTTTAGAGAATTAGAGTTAGGGTTTCACCCCATTAGATGTTAGAGTATAGTATTATGATACAAATTCGGGTTAACTCTTGGTCTAAACAACTAAATGTAATTAAGATATGATAAGGCTAACATACGACAGATTAATTTACACGTACACTAGTTTGAACTATATATAATATACAGATACCCCAGAAAATAATGTATTCAGTTGTTGAATTAAGTTCAAAATGCATGCACGCACTTTTGGTACTACTATATATATGGTGACCCAAATGCGATTAAGCCAATGTTTAGTGACAACATTGAGCTTAGCAAAAAGTGCATAAAAGCTTAAACTATATGGATCACTAAAGTGCTCATCGTCATCAAGGCGCCGGACGGTTGATGACACCATTACAGAAGGCTCCAAGACGCTAAGTTCCAAGCTTAATATACATAGTATGAACTTGAGCAGCAGCCGCATCTGGTGCTCTTTCTCTCGTTTATAGTGACGATATATACCGGCGGTACAAGCAAAACAAATGCTTCAATCCCACATGCAACAACGTACGAGTATCTTGGGAAAGCTGATATAAAATGATCCTGTGATCAATCCAAGGATGTTCTTTTCCGGCAAATGTGAAGGCCTGAAGTATGTCCAAGACATATACTGACGAATGTTCGATAGCTAGCACAATTACTCAAGGTTGGGT